TACATTGCATCTCTAAGTAATTATTTTTGATATTTTGTGGGGTTTTTCCTTTCCATTTCAATTTGAGTTTTTATTGCCTACTTCTACGTAGCTCTTGTTGATTTCCCAAGGCTTTTAAGTTTTAAAATTTTAGGTTGGAGAGATGGCTCAGTGGTTAAGAGCACCAGCCACTCTTTCAGAGGACTGAGTTCAATTCCCTGCACCCACATGGTCACTAACATCATCTATAACTCCAGTTCCAGAGGATTCCGCGCCCTCTCATAGCCTCTATGGGTACTGCATACACATGGTGCACATTTATAGATGCTGACAGAAACACATTTCAAAAAAAAACTTAATTGTTAAGTAACTCATAAAATGATGTGTACATGTATGTATGTATGTATGTATGCATGCATGTGTAGCAGGAGTCCACCCAATATGGAATTCCAATACAAGTAATTTGGGCTGATTCTGTTCTAATCCATTTCAGCATTCTCTTCTTCCTTGTGACATTCCCAGCACCCAGAACTGTCTGTCCTTGGGTGACCTTTGTTGGTGAGCATCTTCATCACGTCTCCCTACGCCTTTTCCAGTTCCTGTCCTGCTCTCATATTTTATATAGTTATGTCATTTTTAGCATTTTTGCCCAGGGCCAGTGAGATGGCACAGCGGGTAATGGCACTTGCCACCAAGCCTAACAACTCCCTAGGCTTGATCTTGGCAACCACCTATTAAAAAAGAGACCCAACTCTGAGTTGTCCTCTGAGATCCTCACACAAACTGTGACAAGCACATGCGTTCACACACAAAGTGAAGAAATGTAGAGTTTTTGTCAGTATTCACCTGCTCTGTGGGGACTTTCTCCATATTATTGCTATTGCATGCTACCTTTATTTCTTAACTTTTATTTTTCAGATAGACTCTTGCTACGTACCCAGCCTGGCCTCGATCCCTCTGTCTCCTGCCTTTGCTTCATGCCTGCTGGGGTTTCCAGGCTGTGTGGACTCTGTGTATCTGCTGTGCTGTTCCATACACGGGACAGTCCCCGAAGGTCTGTGACAGGGGGTTCAGGACTTTGTTCTGGCCTAGTGGAACTTTTCTTAAGGCCCAGTGTTTACATTTCCTCAGTTATATAAATGAAGTATCCCCAAATACGAAAACATACATGTGTTAGGTTTATTAATCAATCATAAGATTCTAGGTCCCTCCTCCCAGCTCAAGGGAGACAACCATGAGCGGCTGGAGCCAGGGGTTAGATGTGCTGAGCTTGTGTGAGAGGCCTTGGGTTGACTCTCCACCACTACAAACATAAACAAACAGCCTTGCTAGTGGATGTGGTGGCTCACGCCTATCTAATACTCGGGAGGCCAAGGCAGGAGGATTCCTTTGGAGGTTAGTCTGAGCTACAAGGTGAGTTCCAGGCCAGCCTAGGCTATTTGTACGAAACCCAGCATTCAGCTAACCAAGCACCCAACTTTCCTGCTTCCCTAAACACCCACGTCCCATCTCATCTCCATCCAGAACAAGCCTGGTCCCGGTGTGCTCACCAGTCTTCTGGAACTTCTTGTCATGTGAACTCGTTGAGTGTAGATGTGTGTATCCTTTCACCCCCGTCTCTCTCTCTCTCTCCTGTGTGCTCATGCACACACACACAGCACCTGCAGCTCTTGTACGGCTATAGCTCACCCCACCACTCTACCTACCACTCACCCCACCACTCTAAGTCCCATGGTGTGATCCTATAACTCACTCCTCCATTCTCTTAATGGCTACCTGAATCCATCCTAGGTTCTTGTTCTTCAAATAGAACTTCTTGGGATTTGGGTTTGTGTTTTGTTTGTTTGTTGGTAGGCTGGCTTTTTGAGACAGGGTTTCTTTGTGTAGCCCTGGCTATCTTGGCTCACTTTGTAGACCAGGTTGGCCTCGAACTCAGAGATCTGCCTGCCTCTGCCTCCCAACTGCTGGGATTAGAGGCATGCGCCACCACCAGTGTTGGGCTGGCTTTTTGACATAGTTTCATCTTGTAGCCTAGCCTGACCTAGAACTTTTGCCTAGGCTAGCTTCAAACTTTCAATCTTTGTGCCTCAACTTCCCGAGTGCTGGTATTATAGGTGTTCACTGCAATGCCCGGTTGGGGCATTTTTTAGCTTGTTTTCTGCTGTGTGAAAATCTTTCTCTAGTTCAGAATACTTTAGAATCATCCGGGAAAGCCTTGCAAAGCACTGCTGCCCCAGGCCCACTCCAGAAGATTCTGATTTAACTGGTCTTTGTTAATAAAACTCAGGCATAGGAGGTTGTCTTTTATTTTTGGAAGCTGCCCAGTGATTCTAATGGAGAGCAGGTGTTGAACTGTTCGAGCTAATCCTGCTGTGTTCCCACCTGGCCACACCTCCACCCTTAGCTGGGAGGGTTTCTGCTTAGCCTCCCCATCTCCATCCCCACATACTGGGTGAAGCAACACTGTTCCCTTTGACAGAGAACTATCTTCAAGCCACGGCCGGCTTCCCTGTAAACCCCTCCCAACCAGAAGCACCTGCAATGCTTGAGTACCCTCACCTCTGCAGCCTGCCTCACTCATTCCCCCTTCACACTTCAGCTCAAAGCCTCTTTTAACTCCTGAAGTCCCAGCTGTCACCAAAGTCCAGGGAAGATGTGGCTTGTCTCTGCTGCCTATGCCAGTGCCAAGCGAATGATTTCAGCACGAGGGGTGACTTGACGCCACACTACCAGATTCTAAACCAGAAACCTTAAGAGAGTTAAGAAGCCAGGCAGTGGTGTGTACGCCTTTGCCTTTAAGTCCAGCACTTGGGAGGCAGAAGCAGGCGAATCTCTGTTATTTCAAGGCCAGCCTGGAATACAGAGTGAGTTCCAGGATTGGCCCTAAAGCAACACAGAAAAACCCTATCTTGAAAAACAAAAAAACAAAACAAAAAAGAACTTAGCTGCTTTTGCAGAGGACCTGGGTTTGATTCCCAGCACCCATACAGTGGCTCACAGCTCTAAATCCAGTCCCAGGGATCTGATATCCTCTTCTGGCCTCCATGGGCACTGAACAAACCTGGTGCAGTTATATACACAAAAAATGGAAAAAAACAAATTTTAAGACCAGGTTTGGCATGATGGCACCATTCTTGCAATGCCAATATTTGGGAGGCTGAGGAGGATCACTGTGAGTTCCAGGCTAGGATAGACAGACCTTGTTTCAGACAAGGGGAAGAGAGGTGGAAGGGGAGGGAGGTGGAGGACAGCTTGGCCTACTGTAACCCAGTCTCAGAAGAAAACAAGGGTGAAACAGTTCAGTGGGTAAAGACAATGGCTGCCAAGCCTGATGACCTGAACTTGATCCCTGGGACCCACGTGATGGAAGAACCAGCCCCCCCTGGCCCCCATGTGTGCACCATGGCTTGTACGCCCTCACACACATAAACAAATCACGACAAAGGCTCCCAGGTCCACACCTGTATTCACCGAAACTCAGGCTGAATTCAGTGACAGCTGACACAGTTTCTGGATTCTCTACCCTAAGCTTACAAACGGCTAAATTTCCCCTTAGGCAGGCATCACAGAATCAAGACTCTGCTCAGCAACAAACTGTGCTCCACCAGCCCTCAGTGTCCAGCTGTGATCTGGGCAGGGGCGCTCTCCGCCATCCCAGGACCCTGAATCGATAAGAGCCACTGCCACCAGGGCCTGAAAACCCGCACGTCTATCCTCGGTGTCAGCCATCGCTGGAAACCAACAAGCAGGTCTCAAGGGCTCAAGGCATTTACTAAGCTCACAAGGAAGCTCTGGCCCAGGAGCTCCTCCTCAACCCAGAGGCCAAAATGTTTGTCCCTCCCCTTGGCAACTGCAGAAGCAATCAACAGGTCTGTGGCTGTCAGTTTTCGTTGCTGAGTGACAAACCAGTCAGCCACATACCCATTTACTATCTCTGTCCAGAAAAGACCTTTTTGGTTTTGGTACTGGGAATCAAAACCAAGGCAAGTACTCTATCCATGGGTCCAGGCATTACCTCAGGCGCAGGCTGTGCTCTTGTTAGAAACCGTTTAAGCCCTCATCCAAAATAACACAGTGCTGGCAGAACATTGCTCCTTGTAGTTGTGGGGACGCAGCCCCCATTTTCTTGGTGGCTGTGCATTGGGACATGCTGTTTACTTCTCAAAACCTCACAACTAGGAGCTGGAGAGATGGCTTGGCAGTTAGGAACACTGGCTGCTCTTCCAGAGGACCTGGGTTTAATTCCCAGCACCCACATGGCAGCTCACAACTGTCTTGTAACTCTAGTTCCAGGGGATCTGAAACATTCATGTACATAAAAAAAAATAAAATTAAAAACAAACAACAAAAACCCCTTCACAGCTAGCTTCTGCGTGGGCAGTAAGACAAACACTTTGTTTTCTAGACCTTTTAAAGGATCAATAGCCTGGGCCATGCTCACTCAGGATAATCTCCCATGTAACTGACAGTAAGAGTGGCAGGGACTGTGAGTCTACCTACAAAGCCCTTTACTTTATTGGAGTTCTCCACTCAGGCCCAGAAGAGAAACTCCAATCATCCAGGTCTTGCTGTAATTGGAGGAGAGGCAACACAAGGCAAGGGTTGCTCGGGTCAATGGAGATTCTGCTTCTCAAAGGGACATTTTACTACATCCATAGCTAAACTTAAGCAGCAGAGACCAGCAGAAGCAAGCTAGGAGAATTAAGTTTCAAGGACAGGTTAACAGTGGTATTTTTATTTAAAACAGAAAAGACCAGGCACGATGGATTGCAGGTGTGTGGACAGGCAGCAGGGAGAAAAAAGGGGCCCCTGTTCTGACATTTACTGCTGCTGGCCTGCCCTGCTCCTCCCGCCATTCTCAACCTGGACTCCTACAGGAGATGGAGACAGGCCCTACTCTATAAAAGCAGCCCTGGCCCCACTCCCATGTGACTTCGGCTTCTTCAAAAACAAGTTTCATAGTCCAAGTTGAACGTGGATGACTGTGGCAGACCCCACGCATATCCACACATCACAAGGGACACATAGAAACATAGAAGTTTACTATCATTGCTTAACAGAGATGACATCAGGACATAGATACAACACTACAGCAAAATGGGGTGAGGTGGGAAGGGCTGAGGGACACAGATGGATCACAGCAACTGGGGAGTGACTTCTTTGGTGCCCCTAAGGTCCTATGACAGCTGACCCACGGCTCCAAGAATTGCACACTGAAGATCAGTAGGTGGCAGCATCACCGAGAGGAGCCTGGAGCTTCTACAGCATAAATACTCAAGGGTCTAGCCTCAAGGGTGGAGAGGTCAGCACGGTCCCACCAGGAGCGGACTTCCTTAGGGTGCACCTTCTCCTAACACTATCAAGAGGCAGGTCCCTCATACCTTGGTCTTTCAAGACATAGCAGCACCACACAGCACCGCACCACCGCGATTTCACTCTGCTACAAGCCTCTCCCTGCGGGTGTTCTCAGAGTGGGAGGAGGCAGTGGTGGGGCTGAGGGTCAGGAGTTTGCTGGAGGAGGAGGTGTGTGTGCCTGAGGTTCCTCCTAGGCATCCTGGAGATTGCTGTTTTTCAGGAGCACCTGTTCTCCAGGCTTGAAGGCTGGCATCCCAAGATAGGGACAGTTGGCGCATCGGAAAGCGTCCCCCAGGTAGCACTGTGGAGAAAGCAAGAGTCACCCAAAGAGGCTAAGGGACAAAGGACATCTTAGTATGCCTACAGGTCTCTTGTTTTATGAAGTCAGTCACTAAGGGTTCCAGTCAGGTGAGGTGATATACACCTGTAATTGCTGTGCTTGGGAGGCTGAGACAAGTTTACGGCCTGCCTGAGCTAGCGGGCAAGCCCCGTCTGAAGGAGGCAAGAGCTGGTATCTCGGGCAGCCCTGAGGATCACTATAGGATCACAGCAACGTCAGCCAAGTCGCTGAGTTAACTACATCCCACACCAAAGAAGAGACTTGGGCTTGCAAAATAAAGAAATAGCACGGACACGGGCTCGAGAACGCTGACAGCCTCTCTCATCACAGCTATACATGGCCTTTCACACTGGCCTATGAGAAAACCTGACACAAATCCCTTGAGTTCAGCTAGTCTGTGTCCTGATGTCACAGGAGTGGGCACACGATGGCAAGGGGCAGGTACGTACATTTCCACAGGCTGACTTGGGCTGAGTGCCCTGCTCCTTTGACTTCTCTCTTTCCAGTTCTTCTGCAAGGCCACAGGTGCTGGGGGGGAACCAACGGCTGATGAATAGACTTGTCACCGCTCAGAAACTTCCAGTCTCTAACAGCACTATATACATTTCAAGACTTTTCAAGTTAATGCTACGGAACCAGCAGGCTTGGGGCGAGGCTGCTGGGGAAGACAGCAAAGTCGCCAGTTTCCAAACTCAAGAGCAGAAGGAACTGAGATGCAATTCAGCGGCAGTGCCCGCGCCTAGCATGTATAGGACCCTGGGCTTAATCCCCAACACCACAAACATACAAAAACAATAAACAGAAGAAAATCTGAATTTTCACTTGCATTCCTCTCATTTGTAAACGTTGGGAAATCGGAACACCTAGAGCCTGACGAGGGCTGCACGTGGCTGTCAGGCCTGGAATCCAGCACTGGAGAACAACTCCAAGTTTAAGGTCTGCCTGAACTATATTGAGAGACTATCTCAAAATACAAACAAATGAAAAATATAATAAAAACAACCAGTGGACGAATAAACAAGCCAGGCCTGCCCCACACTAGTACAAACACCAACACAAAGCTTCCACGTCAGGACAGAATGACACAGATACCTACAACTTCACCTCTCAAACTACCAGAACTACAGAACATCCACCTAGGTTGATAAAAGTGAACCAATCAATACACCTCGATGCTCGGTTAACATGATCAGCGTGTTCTTGTTTGTGTTAAGAAGTTTTTGAGAGTCTTGTTATATAGTCCAAGCTAACTTTGAACTTGCAACCCTGCCTCAGCCTCCTGCATGCTGGTATTCTAACTATGCACCACCACACCTGACTCTGTCCTTCACTTTTTAATTATGAAGGCTATGACCACCAAGCATCCTAGGAAATCCTCTAACCAGGGAGCAGGAGGCCAACAAGAAGAAAAAGACTTCTTGGAAGGAACAGAGAAGGAGAGAAAGGACTGAAGAGATGGACCAGCAGTTAACAAGTGCATACTGCTCTTGCAGAAGACTCAAGTTTGGATCCCTTCATGTGTACCAGTGTACAAAAACAATTAAGTAGCAAAAATAAAATAAAATAGCTAGGCAGTAGTGGCGCCCAGGAGACAGACGCAGGTGAATCTCTGAGTTCAAGGCCAGCCTGGTGTACAGAGCTAGTTCCAGGAGAGCCAAGGACAGAAACCCTGCTTTGAAAAGTCAAAAACATACTAAAATGAATAAATAGACAAACAAAAAACCCAGCAACATAAAAAGCAGAGTAGGGCATGATGGCCCATACTTTTAATCTCAGCACTGAGAGGCAAATGCAGAAGAAGCCAGTGAGTTCGAAGCCAGTCTGATCTACACAGTGAGTTCTAGGACAGTCACGGATATAGAGAGCCTCTGTCTCAAAAAGTCAGGGGAGGATACTAGCTTCTTTATATCCAAATGAAAAACGATGATCAACATATTGGGGGGAGGGCACAATAGCAAAGAGAAAACTACAAACTAAAATCATAATAGGAGGAAGAAAACAATAACAAAAGGTTTAGAAGATTGATAATCTCCCAGAAAGGAACAAAAGGAAAAACCTGAAAAATGTAAACTAAACGAGGGGGGAAAAAAACGACAGGACCAGCAAGATGTGGTTGAGACACCTCTAAAGTCAACACTCAGTCTCTGTGAGTTCAAGTCCACCCTGCTCTACAAAGCAAGTTCCAGGCCAGCTAGGGCTTCACAGTAAAACCCCCATCTCAAAAATAAGCAAACAAAAAGAACCAAAGAGGTTCAACACCTAAGTCACATGCTACTCAGACAAAAACTCACAAACAAAATAAACATTTCGCCCAGGACCACAGACTTGGCTTTTTAAGACTGTAAAGATGCACTGGATGAGCCAGGCAGTGGTGGTGCACGCCTTTAATCCTAGCACTTGGGAGGCAGAGGCAGATGGAGCTCTGTGAGTTTGAGGCCAGCCTGGGCTACAAGAGCTAGTTCCAGGACAAGCTCCAAAGCTACAGAGAAACCCTATCTGAAAGAAAGAAAGAAAGAAAGGAAGGAAGGAAGGAAGGAAGGAAGGAAGGAAGGAAGGAAGGAAGGAAAACTGGGTGGTCAGTGCACAAGAGAACAGATGACACCTGACACACGACAAACCACCCAAAATGATAGCAAGAAACGAGGGCCCCAAGGATCTCTTTACAAAATGGAGAAAGTGACATTCTGGATTTAGGGAAGGATCAAAGACAGCTGGCCTGTCTTATTATCAGGGTCATCTAGAGACAGAAAACAGCAGGATAGTCTTTGAGCGCTTAAAATGACTTCTGACCTGGGAATTGGGAATACTATGATACTTTCTTTTCTTTTCTCCTTTGGTTGTTTTGAGGCAGGGTTTCACTGTGGAAGCCTTGCTGGCCTGAACTCTCTATGTAGATCAGGGTAGCTGGAACTCAGAGAGATCTGCCTGCTTCGGCCTCCCGAGTCCTGGGGTGCCCAGCCAGGATACATCTGTTTCTTATTCTATCTAGTTCTCTATGTACCTCACATCTGACAGGAAAGCCCGTGCTCAGGAGAAGAGGCAGAGAAACAGATGACCACTGGAGAAGAAGCTGCAGCCCAGACCTGCCCCCAGCACTCACCAGTTCTTACAGGCCTTCCTCCTTTTCCCTTCCCCACATGAAGGGGCCTTCAGGGAGGCTGGGTCGGGCTTCTTCAAATCTTCTGGATCTAGCAGTTCATCTGAGTCAATGAGATCCTGGAGAGTGAGCACAACACTTAAGAACACAGCCGCGGCCTCTCTGATGAAACGCTGAGGTAATCACAGGCTGAGAGCATGCACGTACAAGGCAAAGTCAAAGCTACACCCACTGTGAACTATGCCACGTGCTGAAGAGGCCGATGGTCCGTAGGAAATTGCATGAGGCCAGAAATAGATGCAAAACTGACTGATACTATGTAGAGAACGTGTGCGCATGTATGTGTACACACACGCGTGTGCAGAGTGAAAGTGGGAGCAGGTGAAATAAAGAGATATGCTGTATTTATTTCAACATATGGATAATCATGGCAATAAAGTCAAATGGAAGCAAAACATTTTCCATAAAATTTCACGAGTAAAAGCAAATAATTATACATATAAAAAATTACACATACATTTGTGTACTTTTTTGTAAATGTGAACAGTTGTATCTATAAATTCTGAGAGCATCAACCATGGTATATTTTGCTCATCACTCTTGCCTCAATAGTAAAAAAGGTGTTTAAACAATTTTCTTTCTCTCTCTTTCTTTTTGGTTTTTCAAGACAGGGTTTCTCTGTCATAACTGGCCTAGAATCAAGCTGGCCTCAAACTCAGTAATTCATCTGCCTCTGCGTCCCAAGTTCTGGGACTAAAGGTATTTACCACCATGGTCCAGCTTAAATTTCTTATAGATATGACAGATCAAAGGTATGAACACTAAGTTCAAGACAGTGAGCATTCAATGACTTTCACTGAATTTTATTTAGTCAGTATTCAATTGCCTAGAGAGACGTCAATAAAATACCTCAGCTGCTAAATCCTTTCCTGGTTTAAGTCTACAAGAATCTTTGCTATTTCATGTAAAGGGAAGACAAGAAAATATGTAGGGGAAAATGCTCTTAAACACTGCAAAGATTTGTCATTCATATTTGATTTCATAAAATGTTGACTGGCCAATAATCAAGCAGGAAGTGGGGCAACCAAACTAAGAATTCTGGGATGGGGAAAGGCAGTGAGAGTCAGTCGTAATCCAGAAAGAGAGACAGCAAGATGGAAATACCTTACTAAAAAAAGGTACCAAGCCATGTGGCTAAACATAGGTAAGAATTATGGGTTAATTTAAGTTGTAAGAGCTAGTTAGCAATAAGCCTCAGCAATAGGCCAAACAGTTTATAATTAATATAAGCCTTTGTGTGTTTCTTTGGGACTGAATGGCTATGGGACTAGGTGGGACAGAAACTTCCATCTACATGAAGAAGATACTATAAAAATAAATTTAAAATGCTACTAATAAAAGACACCAAACTCAGGCACTGCAATATGCTGGGTCTAAAGCACATTCACACTTACAAATCTAAAGGCCACTCTCAGAGCTGGAGACATGGCTCAGTGGTTAAAAGTACTTGCTGCTCTTGCAGTGGATGTGGGTTTGGTTTCTAGTAACCACTCAGCAGCTAATAACTACCTGTAACTTGACTCCAGTTCCAGGCGATCTAATACCCTCTTCTGGGCTTCGAGGGTACCTGGCACGCATACAGTGTACATACATACAGATAAGCAGACAGACAGACACTCATACACACAAAATTAAAACAAAAATTTAAGGCCACTTTTCACTACAGCTGTTCACACTTAATGTGAAGCCCGAGAGGGAGCAGTCAAGTGACTTTCAGGGCCAACTCACCATGTCATCCTCCATGTCATTGGCTGAGAGAGTCCAGAGCTTGGCAGCAGCAGGATCCACAACAGGCTTCACTGAGTCCATAAGAGAAAAAGAACTCTTTAAACAGTGAGAAGCGAACTACAAGCCTTAGCACCCGTGGAGACGAGAAGAGAAAGACGGGCAGACAGAGGGGAGGCTCACACTCGGCTCCACATGGTCAAGTCTGCATTCGCTGCAGGCCTGTTTTGAGCTAGGCGGTCCACCAGCACTTCCACCACCTCCCCTAACCCTACTAACAACTCTGAGAGGTGCCTGCCACCCTGGTTTTATAGCTGAGGGTAGATGAGGCTACAACCTCCATTCCATACTGCCTTTTCCTTGTTACCTCAGTTTACACCCCTATAACGTAGGTTTTGGCACTCGCTGCAGATAATTTAAGAATCAAATGAGAGAAATATCAGCAACTTCAAAAACAGCAAAGATTTAGCCTCGTGCGAGCCTGTTACATAAGAAAACTCCAGGCTGCTGGTGGCCAGGTGAGCCAATGACAGAACATTCTGCATCTGGGTCAGGACACCAGAAACAATCTAAGAGCCTCAGGGATGGTGATTTAGAGGGGCAAATCCTCAGTAAGGCCTTTAGAGTCCGCACACCACCAGGGATCATCACTGCCACAGCTGGATGCTCAGAACGTCCACAAGGTCAACTGGGGACCTAAGCTGTCCCAACCCTCCAGGAACCATGAAATCAAAGGTCCAAATATTTCCTGAGAACAAGTTTGAGAACATAGGCCTCTAATTCCTGCCACTCAAAAGACAGAGAAGTGGGGACCAGAAATTGAGGTCAAAGTACTTCATAAAGATTGAGGCTAGCTGGGTAGGGGTCGGTGCACACCTTTAATTCTAGTACTTGAGAGGCAGAGGCAGGAGGATCTCTGTAAGTTCGAAGTCAGCCTGGTCTACAGAGTTAGTTCCAGGACAGTAAAGATTATACAAAGAAACCCAGTCTCAAAAAAATAGAAAAAACAAACAAACAAACAAACAAACAAACAAACAAACAAAAAAGACTGGAGGCTAGATAGCAGAAGAATGCAGTATGGATATGGATATGCCGCAAACATCTGTTACATCTCTGCATTCCTCACATCCAAGAAACAACTGAGACATGAGAAAGCAGTCACAGCAAGGATGAGAGACGAGCAACACATGCACACAAACGTGACGTAACTTTTGAGCAGAAGAAACATGAGTTTTGTTTTTTAGCATTTCAACAGGATGCATCCGGGAGGATTTTTCCATCAAAATCAAACCAACAATGCTGTGATTACAGCTCTGACAAAAACATTAAAATAGTATCTACAGGGGTTGGTAGGAGCAAGGTACAATGATGCATATGAAAATGTCAAGACAAAAAAACATTTTTCTGTATGAATGTATGAAAACAATAACTCAAAAAGGCATGTTAAAAATGGCTGTTGCACATATAAAAATATTAAACAATATTTACAATTTTAAAATTCTGAAATATACAAAACACGCATAAATCAAACTAGCAAACAATCTTTAGAAATAAGTTTGTGACTTTACAGGCATAGAAAAAAAGCCCTAGCCAGGAGGTGGTGGCGCACGCTTTCATTCCTAGCGCTTGGGAGGCAGAGGCAGATGATCTCTCTGAATGAGTTCCAGGCCAGCTTGGTCTACAGAGCAAGTTCCAGGACAGTCAGAGATACATAGAGAAAGTCTATTTCAATCCCTCCCGGTCAAAAAAGAGAAAGGAAAAGAAAAAAAAGCCCTGGAAACTGAACGAGAGACCTTGTGCACCATTATCACCATAGTGATGTCTCCTGAGAATAAACCCATCCTCCCAGAGCCTGAAGAAACAGCATCAACTGAACAAGAGACTCAGGCCTCCAAGATGAGGGGGCCTCAGCGCACTAGGAAACAGCTACATATTATTACAGGTTTGAATACTGATAAGTTTAAGATAAAAGCACAGGGAACATTCTGCAACTGGCAAATGACAGAAACAAAAGGACTAATCTAAGAATATTTAGATCATGGTTCAATTTCTAACATGCTCCTCAGGTCTACCCATATAAGATGGCCCCAGGCTAGCCTTACCTGAAGAAGTCTTCTTGTTAGTTAAAAGCTTAAGCTGGCTGGAAGAGCCCACTTCAAAGTTTGGCTTCTTGCCAGTGATATGAACTGAGAGCAGGCTGTCACTGTGGTAGCCTAGGTGTTCCTGGACAGACTGCACCTCCTCCGAGCTTAAGGACTCCCGTTGCAACTGCAATTGAAAATATCCATCACATCAGTTCTCGCTTCTCCAGCCACTGTCTCACCAAGCCGGCCTTGTGGCCAGCCTGGACAACATCCAACAGTGAGTCTGTCTCAGAAAAGAACTTAAGGCCCTGAATCGCATTTTAAAACATCAGAAATATAACAATAACAATTATCATGGAATAACACCTCTCCAAAACCAAGGAAATGCTAATATTCTTATGTTTAGTTTCTGGAGAAGAATATGGAACTATAAATTATAAATGCCTCTGCTTAACTTGAACTCTACTCAACTGTCATAAACGCGCAGCACCCATCCGCAGTCTAGATGCCCACCAGGGTCTAAGGGACAGTATTCCATCTAGGCCTACTTGTGTACACTGAAACACGGAGAAGCAGCAAACCTTCTGTTTCCCTGGAGCACAGCCACCACTGTTCAACAGTTCCAGGAAGACCAGTACCAGCCACTCAGAGTCTTCAGAAGGGATCTGCTCCCAGGGGTTTCTTCTTCAAGGCATCTCGTATTTATCTCTCAGGTAGCAAGCTTCAAATTACCTTCTAATTCTGTGCAGCACCTCTAGCCTTACTTGTCCCCAGCTATACGGACCAACTCCGTCACCCAAGGTTTACACACCTAACAAGGACGGCTATCTCTACACACCTACCTCTTTTACTTCCACGAGGCCAGAGAGAGTCAGGGCAGAACACAGCTTAGAGGCCGTCTTCATTTTGTCATTGTTAACTGTCAAGGAAAACCCCCATTAATGGCGTCATATGTCAAAGCTGGGGGAAAACTACTACAGAATGCTCATCTCCAAGTGGTCCCTCTGGCTCGGGAGACAGCGTGCGCATGCAAAGACTCGGCTGTGCTAAACGTTCGCCTTCTGAGTAGACATCCTTACCTACAGTTGTCTCCACTGGCTCTTTCAGAAAAAGGCATCCCCCTGGCCGAAGGATTCGGGCCATCTCAGCCAGAACCTCAGCACTGTGCAGAGAGGTGCTTCCTGGGACTACGCCCGACAGAATAACGTCAAAGCTGGATTCTTTATGGGCAGCTGAAAAGAATAAGGAACAGTTGCCTACCTGGGGAGCCATCTCCCAACCCTCCCACAGACCTCCCACAGAGGGTACGGTATCACCCCAGGAGAATGAAGCCCCCATAGCAGCAGAAGGGGGCTAAGACTCTGTTCTGCCCTGTATCGCCCTAATTCCTCAGCCTCCATAAGATCAGGGTAAGAAGTAAAAAACGAGATTTTTAGAATGAGGAACAGCCACCAAAGAAAAGAACACGCAGAAATTACCAACAACATGCCCAAGTGTGCCCAAAAAATGGGGTGACCAACAAAACTTAAGTATGGGGAAGAGATGAAAAGGCAGGAGGTACTCACACTGCAGCAGCTGGCTGAGGTTCTCCGTGAACACTTGGCCCTCACTGCCAGTTAGCCCTTGAAGATTATCTACCAGTTTTTTTAGGGCCTCCTCAGGAGATGACTTGTCAAAGAATACCACCACAAGCTGGCCAGGGGAGATCCCAAACTCTGCCATTCCTGCAATGCAGCCGTACCTAAAAGCTATTGGCAAGAGAAATCAAGACAACAGTGGAATTTAATCCCTGAGTTATCATCAAGTATGATTAGAATCATAACCTACTTCTAACAATTTCCCACTGAGGATGTATTACAGCTTGGTGTAAACCCTAAGATTTTGACTAAATGAACCTTCAGTCTCAAGGTTTCATAATCCCAACATTCCCTGACAAGACAGGTAGACAAAACGGATACGGCAACGTCAAGAAAAGGGGATTAGAATCAAGTAAAAAGGCTAGAGAGTCTGAGCTGACTATAAAACAAACAGGGCATTCATTAGGCAGGGATGACTCATAGAGGAAGGCAATACATTGGCAGCTAGCCTAACCATAGTTAAAGTTTTAAAAAAAGATATTTAAAATTTGCAAATTAAATACTTTTTCAATACTTATATTTCTTGACATTACTTATAAAAATTCAATTGCACCAAATCTACAGTGACTAACACTACTTTCCAGCCTCTTTGAAACACACCTTATATACACATTATCTCAAATGACCCTCAGAATAGCTGATATTAGGTTACTCCCAATGTACAGTTAAAGATCTGGGTCAGCCAACACTGTACACAACCAATATTGTGTGGGTAAAACAAAAGTTGGGACTCGAATCCAGATCTGTGTAACTATGAAAGTATCTCAACCAGGTTAGTTTTCTCTTCCACCTGATACGCAAGTCTGCCCACTGTGAAGGAGGCCAAGGGATATCTGTCAGCTAATCCTTCCTTAAACATTAATGCACCATGTTTCTAGCTTCAAATACGGGAAACAAAGAAGCAGTGGTAGCAGGCTCATTCTGAACACTTCTGACTTCTGCAGAGATGGCCGACTCTGCGAGAGTGACACCACCACACCCCCAGGCTGCATTTAGGTCACATGTCCTTACACTCCCCTTCTATAACAACATCCAGGGGCCAGCAGATGCACCAGCTGGTAAGTAAAAACACTTGTGGCCAAGCCTGATGATCTGAGCGCAGTCTTCATGCACCACACGGAGAGAAAGAACTGACTTCTACAGGTTGTCCTGTGACCTCCACATGTGCAGGTGGGGCACAAATGGCCACACACAAAAAAATAAAACATAACTTATTTCATTTTCCCGTTACTTTTTTTGGGGGGAGGGGGGGTCTCATCTAGCCCAAGTTGGCCTTGAACTTCTGATCCTGCCTCCTCTAATTCCCAAGTACTAGGATTACAGGTATGCAACATCATGCTTGGCTTGAAAACTGTTCACCTTTGTATCTAAAAACTATGACCTTTAACCAGCGTCACCTTTGATTACACAGTGCTTTGTCATTTTAGAAATGCTACTAATGGTTTTAATGTCTACAGCAAAATTGAAACCCTCTGCTAGCTAGATTCAAAATCTGACTTCCACTCCAAAGTGACTCTCTCCCTATTGCATTCTCGCTCCACCACACCTTTTTGGCTAGTTTCTTCCTGCGAACACCAGCTCTGTGCTATCCTGACTCAGCACAAAGCCCAAGAGGACGCCACGTGGTTATCAGACAGGCAGGAGTCTGGCTCTTTAGTGCGGGATTTTAAATCCCTAAAAAGCACACCGTCAAGAATGAACAGCTTCTAACTGCCACATGACTTTGAGAAAGAAACCCTGCAAATCTTTCAATTGGGTAACATGGGATCAATCAAGAGCCTGCCGGGAAGACAAGAGTACTTACTGCTGGGTAGCAAGTTATTAAAAATGAGCAGCCTGTACATCTGCCCGCTACTTGTTTCATTAGGGACAGGACTATGGCAAGTCAGCCTTTCCGAGTCTCCTTGTCAATAAACAACCTCATGTTTTTAAGACTGGTAAGAAACCCTGGAACAGTAAGCTATGTAAAGCGCTCGGCAGATGCTGGTCCACAGAGCTCAATGAAATAATCTGTAGTTTGTCTTTGTTTCCAACAGTCTTGGTAAAACCTCTCTCCTTACAGATGCTTGGAAGGGGAGAATGTAAAGGTTCCTTTCCATCCTTAGAACCCACGGAGAGCCTCGCCTTTGACGTCCAGTACCAGTGGGACTGGGTCAGTAAGTTAGCGGAGTGTAAACAGAACATTCTTTCCATGAAGAAGAGGGACCTCATGAGTAAATTAAACCTTAAACCTCCCCTCACCAAAACACACACACCTACAGTTTTCAGTCACCCTTTCCTGAATAGACAATTTTTTTAAGCTGTAGGGCCAAAGTATGACAATTTTCATCAGATTTTTTGTTAGTGTGGCAAATCTGTTTAAAAACAAAACCAGAACTATATATATAAAAAAATCCAGCACCTAAGCCAGCATACTCAGGAGCTGTGACTCAGGGCTGTTTCACAACTTCAGAGAGGCGAAGTGGACGTCAACGTCACATAATTGACCTTGTTTGTTAGATGCTTCTCCAGCTGACAGCAGCCACCCAAGACTTTCCAAAAATGTTCCTAGCAGCCGTGTGTGCTGGTATTCGCCTTTAGTACCAGAACTTCCTAGACAAAGGCAGACAGATCTCTGGGAGTTCAAGGCCAGTCTGGTCTACACATCAAGTTCAGCTACATAGTGAGACCCTGTTTTTAAAAAAAGTTACCAGCAGGGAGTAAGAACAAGAGCAAACGTCTGACGACTGGAGATGGCCATATTTATCTTTAAGGCACCCAACAAGCAGATTCTTAGGCTTGTGGGCCCATTTAAGAGGGCTGGATATGACACAATGCATTGTTGCAGGTGTCACTCATTAGGGATGGGGGTTACAGTTCAGTGGTGAGTACTTAGCTAGCATGTATATGGTCCTGAGTTCAGACTTCAATACCACAAAAACAAACAAACACCAATTTAATAGCCGAGAATGGCACTTGCCTGCAATCCCAGCCCTCTTAGGATAGTGAAGAGGGATCCCGAGTTCTGAGGACAACATGGACCCTTCAGTGAAACTCTTGTCTCAAAACCATTATCAGGGCTCTGGGGACAGCTAGGTGGGTAAAGCTGACGCTTTGAAAGCACAAGGCCTTGAGTTCAAGTCCCAGAACCCATAGAAAAGCTGGATGTGTGGGCCATTGAGATGATTCAATGAGTAAGGGCACTTGCTATACAAGCCTGACAACCTGAATTCAATCCTCAGAACCCAAGGAAGTAGAGAATTAACTCCTGAAAGTTATCTTGACTTCCATTCTACACATGTCAACCCCCCATAAAATAATACAAAGTAGAATATATGTATTTTTTAAAAAGCTTATTTGGCCGGGTAAGTAATCCAACACCGGGGAGCTGGAGGAGGGCAGTCTGGCCAGCCGATCCAGCCTTTAACTGGTGAGCTTCAGGCCACCAGAGACCATGTCACAAAGGAGGTGGCCACAGTCTGATGAAAAACAAAGTTGTCCTCTGTCCTCCACATAAATGCTCCCTCCAGAATCATGACAATAAATACACAGTATTTGCTCCTTCCCTGGTGGAGCAGCGAGTCGCTCAGCTCCCCTCTGAAGACTATATCTTGAGGTACGCCAGACGCTAAGAAGCAAGCCTCTCCCAAACTTACAAATGGTTTGTTAAAGCTAGATCCCTGGACCACAGGGTCAATTCTCCGGACAAAAGCCTGGGTTCGTTTTATAAACAAGCATCCCAGTTAAGTCGGAAATAAGTGCCAGGCTCAAAGGGACAACCTGTGACTCCAGGTTCTCCCCTGCTTTCGTGCTTTCCGCCAGATGTCCTGAAGGAGACCCAAGGTCACCACAGATAGCTATGAGTAAACTGGCGATCCCGATGCCAGCTCCGGGTTTCACGAGAAAAAGAGGCGGCAGACGAGCCCCGGCGACATAAATGCCGCCGCATGCGGGGCCCTGGTCACCGTGATCCCTCACACCGGCTTCCCCAAGGCAAGCCAATGACGGCGCGGGGGGCAGAAACGAGAGGACGGAGGATGAGAGTGAGCCGAGGAGGCCCGTTAGGCCCGATCGGGTGCTCGAGCTGCCCAGAACGAGCTCACCTTCCTTCTACCCTGAATACCCGCTTCGCAGACGCCGGCTTCTCGTCTCCGGTCTCTCGCGGGAAGACGCGGCACAGCACCCAGTCCTCGAAGGTAGACGCGGCCCCGCCCCTGACGGCGTGACGCTGCCCGGCACGTCGCCGCCGTCGGCGTGCGTGCCCACTTCCAAGATGGCGGCGACGGCAGCAGTGTCTGGCGTCCTCGGCCGGGTAGGCTGGAGGCTCCTGCAGCTGCGGTGCCTGCCCGGTGAGGTGACGACCGAGACCGGGCGCGGGGGACAGGGGGGAAGGAGAAGCGGCGCGGGCCTGGGCTTGGCATAGGGCGAGAAAGGCCATGGTGGGGGATAGCAAGGTAAATGTGAAGGGCATCGGCGTGGAACCCCTGGAGTCTCGAGCTGGGGAAAAAAAACAAATCACTTAGCGAATTTCGATCTCCACACTGGAGCTGTGAGGGGCAAAAGCAGCGGAGCAGGCCTGTCACCCCGGTTCCCCAGAGGTAATGGAGCTTCAGAGAGGGCTCGGTGTACCCAAGGTCACCGAGCTCGTCCGTTGCAGAAGCGTTCTTAGTTCCGTTGCCATGGGCACTGGGCCAGCCTCGCTGGAGGGACAAGTAGAACCGCCAGAGAGCGTCCAGCCCGGTCTTTCTTCAGAGTCAGTCGTTGCCACACCACGTCACTAAGTTGGTGACATTCTTTTACTATCATTGCTGTCGTATGTTCAGTATTTTTACTTCCACATTAATCTAGACTTTTATTTTAAAAAAAAAACTTTGTACATTGTCATTAAGTAGAAAAGCAAAAATCACTGTCTATAGATAGAATATTTCCATACTAACACATTAACATAAATATGCAACTAAAATTTCCGAGCTGCAGAGATTTAACAGCCATACTTTGGGAAACCCCTCACTTCAAATTTTGTGGGTATTTGCTCTATTTTCTGTGCATATAACAAAATGCTGATTTTTATGCATGGTGTTCTGTGTTTCTTTCCATATTATTGTTTTCAATGATTTCCTTTTTGTCAATTTTAAGTTTCAGACAAGGTATGTTTAGTTAAATAATACCAGGGTCCAAGAAACTCAATCTTGGGTATTTAATCAAGAAATCGTGTCCACAAAACGTTGAAGTGTATTCGCAGCAACTTTATAATGGCTGGACCCTGAAAAGGCAAACATTCGTCTTTTGTAGCGCTATGCAAGCAATCTGCAACAGGGGCTCCAAAGCACCCCTCCCTTTCTAAAACTTTTGAGACAGGGTCTCACAGTGTCCTTGACTGACCTGGAACTTGCTATGACTGACCTTAAATTCAGAGAGACTGGCCTGTCTGTCCTGGCTTTCTGAATGCTTAAAAGAGTGTGCCATCATAATTTATTTATATATTGATAAGTGCTCTGCCTGCATGTATGCCTGCAGGCCAGAAAAAGGGCATCAGATCCTATTATAGATGGTTGTGATCCACTACGTAGTTGTTGGGAATTGAACTCAGGACTCTAGAAGAGCAGCCAGTGGTGCCCTGAACCTCTGAGCCATCCCTCCAACCCCATGCTTTTCCTTTTTATTACTTTTTTCTTTTTCAAACGTGTAGTCCTCTCTCAACCTGAGCTATTTGGAAGACTGTCTCAACATAATATAAGCTGATCTTTTGATATTTTGTGTGTGCGTGTTTAAAACAGAGTTTAAGCCTATTTTAATGTAGGCTTGAGCACAAGGGTTAAGAGAAAAGATGCACTCAAAAGAAAGTAAGACAGATCGAGGAACTTGGGTTTTCAGAGAGTCACAAAAAGTAAAACATTTGTAAGTGTTCTTGTAGACTTCTCAAAGACTTGCATAGGATTATCTTTTAAAACTATACTGATCTGGGAACCTAGAGAGATGGCTCAGCAGTTAAGAGTTTATACTGTTCTTGAGAGGACCCAGGTTCGATTCCCAGCTCACTGCTCACTCCAGCTCCAGGGCATCTCATGCCTTCTTCATCCCCACACACAAACTGACATCAATATACATAATTAAAGACTAAATAATGTCCTGGAGAGAAGGCTCAGTGGTTAAGAGCACTGGCAGTTCTCCCAGAGGACACCAGTTCAGTTTCTACCAGTCATGGATCCGATATTCTCTTCTGGCCTCCATGGACACAGGCATTCACATGGTGCAAATATTTACACGCAGGCAAAAGACTCATAAAAAAGTAATGCATCTTTGAAAAAAAAATATACTAAGCAGGGCTTGAGAAATTAAGAGCATGTGCTGTTTCTGCAGATGTCCAGGGTTCACTTCCCAAACCCCTCTTCTCTCCTTGTGATCATCAGGCAGACATGGGGTACATATACATACATTCAGGCAAAACATTCATACACATAAGTAAATCTTTAAAAATTAGCCAAACGGTGGTGGTGCACACCTTTAATCCAAGCCAACCTGGTTTATAGAGTGAGTTCTAGGACATTCAGGGCTACACAGAGAAACCCTGTTTTGACAAACAAACAAACAAAAATTTAAAATATATATGAAACAAAAGAAACCTCAAAGAAAAAAATTAAAACATGTAGATAAAAAAAATCCCAGGACAAGCAAAAACTCACTTAGGGTGCAAATTTCAGAACAGAGGTATGGGAGCTGAAAGGGTGGGAGGGAATTTTCTGGGGTAATAGTAATGTCTGTCTACATAGGATTCATGTTAATACAAGTGTATTTTTTACATCGCTCATGGAATGGTATGATTAAGATTTGTATATTTCGTCATATATAAACAATCCATAAAGGAACAGTAATCAGTGAACTCTAGTGATACATGGACTGAAATATTGGAGATGCAGGACCCTAGAGAGCTGCACTAATAATCAGGAATATGCTAGTGAAGAGCATATCCGTAGAACTGGAGTGGATATACAGATGTTCACAATTCCTTCAGCTTGTATTCTGATGATAAAATGCTGGGGAAGAAAAAATTAGCAAGGACTTTTACACAGGAGACACTGCTGATATTTCCTAAAGTTAGGGGGCTGCAAGGGCTAGGGGGCTGGCTCGGAGGTTAGAGTGCTTGAGTGTGAGGACTAGAATTCTGGTCTTCAGAACCCACAAAAAACGCTGGATGTGGTGGTACACGCCTTTAATCCAGCACTCAGGAGTCAGAGAGGCATATTTCTGGGAGTTTGAGGCCAGCTTGGTCTACATAGTGAGTTCAGGCTAGCCTGGTCTTCGTAGTGAGTGTCAGTCCAGTCAGGACTACATAGTGAGATCTTGTCTCAGAAACAAAACAAAATAAACAGAAAAAAAAACTGAAAGAAAGAAAAGAAGCCCCGAGGTGGAGACTGGAGATCTCTAGTTCAAGCAGGCCAGCAAGACTAGCCACATCAGTAAGCTCTGGTTCTGCTTGAGAGACCCTGTCAATCAGTAATGTGGAAGAACAGATTGAGACTGATTCCCAAAACTGACCTCAAACCTCCACATACTTGTGCATGCTCACCTACGCACATACATACAAACATGTACACAATACACACAAACATGATAAAGAAGGAAAAGAAATGCCATGTAAACACTTGGAACGTAGGCTTGTTATGTACATAGGTATAGCATTTCACGTTTGAAGGGTACCTTAACATTGTCATTGAGCAAGTTGAGATTAACACTCTTAATCTATGGGGTTTTAAAAGCTGAATATTATGGGGCCAGCAAGATGGTTCAGTGGGTAAAGGTGCTTGACACATAAACCTGGCAACCTGAGTTCCATTCCCAGAATGGATGTAAGGGTTAAAAAAAGAGAACCAAGGGGCTGGAGAAATGGCTCAGAGGTTAAGAGCACTGACTGCTCTTCCAGAGGACCCGGGTTCAATTCCCAGCACCCACATGGCAGCTCACAACTGTCTGAAAATCCAGTTCCAGGGGATCTGACACCTTCACACCAATGCACATAAAAATAAAAAGATAAATAAATCATAAAAAAAATTTAAAAAAAAAGAGAACCAACTCCAGAAAGGAATCCTCTGAGCTCCAAATGTGTGTCATTGAATGACTATCCGTGTACGTCATGCACACATAGTAATAATTAAGACAATTATTTTAATCTGTATACTAAGGGGAATGTTTTATACAGCCATACAGCTGACCGGTGCTACAGACAGGCCAATGGACAGCTAGGTCTGCGGTTAACTAATTTATGTGTCTCAAGGCTTCTGTTTTCAAGGTATCTATTGGGGACTCAACATTGGGATGAGTGCCTGCAGAGCATTCCTACTGTGTACCTCCTCATTTTTATCACGGCGCTCCACGGCGAATGTCCCTGACCAACAGTCTGGTGTCTGTTTCAGTGGCCCACTGCCGATCACCTCTGATGCCGCGTGCCCTCCACACTTCTGTGGGCTTGAGGTCATCAGAAGAGCAGAAGCAGCAGCCTCTTCAGTCTTTTTCTCAGCAACATTCTGAGCCACAGGGGCCAGAAACACCTGGCTCAGAGTTTCCTCGTCAGCCCCCCAGGTAAGCGTTAGTGTCCAGATCTACCCATTGCTGGCTTCAGAATGCAGGTTCCTCCTCACCAGCCCCTCCTTCTTCCTTCTAGTCCCCTCCCTTCGCTCTTTTCCCCTTCCCTCTTTCCTTTCTGCTAGGGTCTTGTGTAACTGGCGGGTCTTTAACTCTGCACCCCAGGCTGATAGCCCTGATAGCCGTGAGCTCTGGGAATCCTCCAGCCCCAGTCTCCAAAGAGCTGGGATTACAGGAGTCAGCTACTGTGCTTTGCTGTTTTCTGTTGTTTTTAGAAAATCTAAACACAGTGGAGAATACTTGAAGTCATACACAGAGATTATTCATCTGCCATAAAATTGCCTTTTAGAAGTTTCTATAAGCATTTTTTTTAAGCTGAGGTCTCTGTAGCCTAGGCAGATTTTGGGTTCAGC